AGGTGAATCCACTGAGGGGAGGGAGTAATTATTTAAATTATTATTTTTTGTTTAATTAACATTTATTGTCTTCTGGGTAACAGGTACTGTTAGGGACTTTTACATCTGCTATTTTATTTAATTACAAGAGTTCTTCATTTCCAGATAAGATTTCCCATGGGTTTCCTTTGACTAATGAGTTATCTTAGCCTGGTGCTTCTCAGTCCCAGCTGCACATGAATATCACCTGGGGAGCTTTGGCGCAATATGGCACGGGGGTGTATCCCCAGAGAGTCTGTTTAATTATGCAGGGTGGGGACCCTGCTGCAGTATTTTTAAACTCTGGCCAAACCCGAGATGTCATTTCTCCTGCAGGAAAAATACAGCAGTAAGCAACTGCTGCAAACTTCGGCAGTAGAGCATGCTGTGCCAGGTGGAATAAGCAAAACACCTGTTTTCCTTTGTTTCCTATTAAGTGGGATGTGGAAAGTGTCAGAATAATTATGGAATGAAGCAGGCTAGAAAATGTAGCTTTAAAAGTCTCAAACTCAGAAGTTCCAGGTGCTCTTAATTTGTAGCCTAGGTTTTGCTCTGTGGCGTTTATCAGAAGCATTGTGCCAGTGACTTGCATAATAAAAGTTTTTGTCTTTTTTATTTTTTAAGATAAAAGGAAACTATTTAACAATGTTTTTATACTAAAGGTAATGTGTTTTAATGAAATACATACATATGTCCAGAGTACAGAACTGTGGATAAAAAAGTTTAGGAGGACACAGAATTGTAAGGAATTCTTTCTTTTGGTGGAGGGATTATGGGTAGACGTGTCTTCCTTAAAAATCATCTGTTCCGGGTGTGGTGGCTTACGCCTGTAATCCCAGCACTTTGGGAGGCCGAGGTGGGAGGATCGCTTGAGGTTACGAGTTTGAGACCAGCCTGGCCAATATGGTGAAACCCTGTCTCTACTAAAAACACAAAAATTAGCCGGGCATGCTGGCAGGTGCCTGTAGTCCCAGCTACTTGGGAGGCTGAGACAGAAGAATCTCTCGAACTCGGGAAGCAGAGGTTGCAGTGAGCTGAGATCGCACCACTGCACTCCAGCCTGGGTGACAGAGCGAGATTCTGTCTCAAAAAAAAAAAAAAAAAAAAAAAAAATTAGCTGGGTATGGTGGCGCGTGCCTGTGGTCACAGCTACTTGGGGGACTGAGGCAGGAGGAGCACTTTGAGCCCAGGAGGTTGAGGCTACAGTAAGCCATGTTTGAGCCACTGTACTCCAGTCTGGGCAACAAAGTGAGACCCTGTTTCAAGTTTAGTAAAGTAAGACCCTGTTTCAAGTTCTAGTAAAGTTGTTTAATAGCAAAACATTTTTAAATAGCAAAACATTTTTAAAAACCAGGAAGGAACTAAGTGGTTTGGGAGGCTCAATTGTTTAAAAAATTGTTATAGCCTTAGATCACATAATAGAGAATTAACTTTAAAAATGATCCATAATCAAAAATATACCCAATCCCTAAAACAATTCCTGGTCACCTTTGTAAATAGATTTGCTTCAGCGGGAGCTTTTAGTGCTGCCTGGAGCATCCCAGGAGTCATGAAAGTGTGGTGACATTGGGCAGAGAAAGGAAAGCTTCCATTCGATTTGCCAACATTAAGGGTTTTCCTCTTAAAATAAGCAACGTTTCTGGTAGGGGTGATAGATAGGCTTCCATTTTAAGCAATGTTTTGCTCCTTTAAAAAACTTTTTCACATTTTCTGAGAGACCTTGGGCAAGTCAAATCATTCTTTTGGGCCTGAGGTTCTTTGCTGATAAAATGAGGGAATTAGAGTAACATAGCTGTCGTTGTGCAGGTTGGGATTCACAGGGCAGCGTCTCCTAGAGCATGCTGGGGGAGGAGTGTTGGGTTGGCTTGATTCTGGGTCTCCTGCTTTGGCCTCAGACAAGCTGCCCTGTGGGTGAGCTCCGGGCAGGGCTCATTTGCAGGGAGGGGAATCAGTTTGGTTCCACCTGCATTTGGGGGATCTACTAGACATCAGGCATAGTACCAGGTGTGGGGGACACTAGGATGACCAAAACCTAGCATGAGCCCTCAGGTAGCTTAAAGCCTAAAGTCTCTTGGAGGAGATGGATAAAGACACAGAGAAATCCAGCATTTCTCAGCTAGGTCAGGGACTGGGTGGGAGAAAGGAGGGAGTTTGTTAGAAGGCTAGTTGGGTATAGGAGCCCTGGGTGTTTTTAGATTTTTATTTTTATAGAGACAGTTCCTCACTATGTTGCCCAGGCTGGATTTGAACTCCAAGGCTCAAGTGATCCTCCTTTCTCAGCCTCTAGACTAGCTAGGACTATAGGCAAGTATTTTCTAAAGAACTAAATGACAAATAGAGGACAGCTCCCTTCCCTGAGTCACTGTCTGGTCACTGCTGAGAGCAGAAGAGAGAGGAAGGAGCAGGAGCCCACATGAGGTGGTTGGGACTCCCCTTGTCCTCTGGAGCCGACTTCAGCATGCTAGTGAAAAGGCTGTTAGGGAAAGAGGACCTGGGCTCTCAGAAGAGGATAGACTCTGCCTTGAGGGCTGGGAGGGACCTTAGGGGGGCACCTAGCCCAGGCGGGTTACCCTGGCAAGCCTACCCCTGCATACCCAGGCCCATCCCTCTTCCACCTCCTATGCTTAACTGAATGGACCAGCAGTCTAACCTGCTGGCCTTTGCATGTGCCGAGAGCTCTGCTTGGATCCCTTCCTGCCTCTGGCCAATTCTAACTTAACTTTTACTTCTCAGCTTCAATGTCACCTCCTTGGGGAAGCCTTTCTTCGATTATCCATCATTTTCCATCCCCTGCTGAGTTAATTAAATACCCTTTTCAGGGATTGCCTCATCCCCTTTCCTTCAGAGCATTCATCTGCTTGTAATTGCTCCCTTAATCTTGGAGAGTTCCTGGGTGGCTGGGACGGTTTAATTCATGGAATTATTTCCATGGCCACAGTGCTTGGCACACAATAGGTGCTCAGTAGCTATTGAGTGAATGAGTGTCCTCACTTTATAACAGAAGTTAAATGACTCGCCCAAGTCAGACACTCCGAAAGACTGAGAAGGAATGAGACCCATGGTATGAGTCTGAAGAGGAGGCGAGATCTGGTTTCTAGAGCTGTAGTCAAGGCTTTCTGTCCATAGCTTGGAAACGAAAAGAAGCCACACTTGTTTAGAGGCCCACGTTACTTCTGTCAGTCACACTGTATGCCCTGGGTGTGCGGGTGTGTGTCTGAGAGATGTGGGTTGTGTGTGGGGTGTGTGCCTGGGATGTGTGTGGGGTGTGTGCATGGGATGTGTGTATGGTGTATGTGTGGTGTGTGTACATGGAATGAATGTGTGGTATGTGTGGAGTCTGTGTGTGTACATTTGAGGATATAGTTTGTGAGTATGCAGTATGCTTAGATGGTTCTTTTTTTTTGTTTTGTTTAGAGACAGGGTTGCTCTGTCACCCAGGCTGGAGCACAGTGCACATCATGGCTCACTGCAGCCTCGACCTCCTGGGCTCAGACGATCCTCCTGTCTCAGCCTGCCAAGTAGCTGGGACTACAGGCATGTACCACCATGCCTAGCTAATTTTTAAATTGTTTGTAGAGACGAGAGCTCCCTAAATTACTGGGCTCAAGTGATCCTCCCACCTCAGCCTCCTAAAATGTTGAGATTACGGGCGAGCCACCATGCCTGGCCTAGATGGTTCTTAAATCCTCTCCTTGGCCACTGAGCAGTTCTGTGATTATTATTTAAAAGGGAATGTTAAATCACAGTTATGCCATAACAAGGAGAACAACAGAAAGAAAACCTACACTGGCAAACTAAAAGAGAGTTGCAAAAGCAGCCGAAGTGGCTGAAATTATCAGCAGATAGGGTTCTCTCTGGACAATTAGACATGGCCCCTAAACCTTTTGTGAATAAAACAAGGCCGGTTAAGTGGCTTCCGGTAGTTTCAGCACCCAATGAAAAGCAAAGAGAAAACACTAAGACAGCTAAAGATTTAATCAGAATAAAGGCCAGAGAAAAAGTCATCCTGTTTCTCTTCCATTCAATAGTAAGATTGTCTAGACAGTGCAGACTTTGCTCTGATCTTCACACTAACTGCTGGCAAATGCATTAAAAAGGGATGTTAACTATGGTTTTATGAAAATTCTCTTTAATTCATCAGCTTTTGTTGCTGTAGGAGATTTTGGAGGGTGACAAGACTGGCGTAATGTGCCTGTTTGTGTTTCTTTCTCCGCAAAGTAGAAACCTGAAACAGGAAGTGATTCAAGGGACAGAATGACTAAGACCATTTCAGACTCAAGTTGAACTGAGCATTTTGCTGGGACCAAGACTTGCTGCTGCCGCCAAAGGTCCCAATATCCTTTATACTGAATCTCCATGGATAGCCCTGGCCCCACCATATGCGCTCCTAAGGACAACACAGTCCAGCCAAACTGTCCTTCAGTCATAGGAGTTTGGTTTAGGTCTTTGTTCTTTACTTGCTATGCAACCTTCAGCAAATTATTCAACTTCTCTGAATCTCTATTTATGTGTAATACACCAGACTATTTTGAGCATTAAATGAGAAAACTGTTCGCAAAACAATTCAGTGATATCATGGACTGTACAAATGCGATCTGGGGCCGGGTGCGGTGGCTTATGCCTGTAATTCAGCACTTTGAGAGGCCGACACTGGTGGATCACTTGAGGTCAGGAGTTCGAGACCAGCCTGGCCAACATGATGAAATCCCGCCTCTACTAAAAATAAAAAAATTAGCCCGGCATGCTCGCTTGAACCTGGGAGGCGGAGGTTGCAGTGAGTCGAGATCGTGCCACTGCACTGCAGCCTGGGCGACAGAGCAAGACTATGTCTTAAAAAAACAAACAAACAATCAAACAAACAAATGCTATTTGGAGTTGTGCCTCTACTATGGGAAAAAAACAATAGCTAGGATTTACTGGGGGCTTTCTGTGTACTGAGGACTGTTGTAACTTGCTTAATTCTGGCTATAACTCTTTTACAGGAGAAGAAACTGAGGCCTGGAATTTGATTAACTCATTCAAGATTACCCAGTTGGTAAGTAACAGAGCTGGAATTTGACCATGGCCGTCTGGCTCCAGAGCCAGCACTCTTAACCACACTTCCTATGAGGAAAAGTTAAAGTGGATGGGAATGGCTACAAGATGGATTTCAGTTCCGTAGAAATAAGAACCTCCTACCTCTGTTGAAATCAGAATACGCATACATCCCTTCATTCATTCTATGAATATTCATTCACTCCATGAACCTACGAGGTTTTTAGGTCACAGTATTAGTTTAAATAAGAATTATAGGCTGGGCGCAGTGGCTCACACCTGTAATCCTAACGCTTTGGGAGGCTAAGGTGGGTAGATCCCTTGAAGTCAGGAGTTCAAGACCAGCCTGGCCAACATGGTGAAACCCTGTCTCTACTAAAAATATAAAATTTAGCCAGGCGTGCTCACTTGAACTCAGGAGGCGGAGGTTGCAGTGAGCTGAGATTGTGCCACTGCACTCCAGCCTGGGCGACAGAGCAAGACTGTCTTTAAAAAAATAAAAAAGAAAGAAAGAAGAACAAAATTTTGGAGGGAAGGAGACATTTCCAGCCTACCGTCATGAGTAATGACAATAATAGGTAATACTTTTTGAATAGTTACTATATGCAGACCCTGTGCTAAGAGCTTTTTAACTTGTTTAAGCTTCACAGCAGCTCCCACAAAGTTGCAGTTCAAAGAAGATAAGTAACTTGCCCAGGGTCGCTCTGTTGGTAAGGGATAGAGTTTGTATTCACATTCAAGCAGTCTGGATTGAAAGTCAGTGCTCTTGCTGGGCGCGGTGGCTCACGCCTATAGTCCCAGCACTTTGGGAGGCCAAGTGGGGCAGATCATGAGGTCAGGAGATCCAGACCATCCTGGCTAACACAGTGAAACCCCCATCTCTATTAAAAATACGAAAAATGAGCCAGGCATGGTGGTCGGTGCCTGTAGTCCCAGCTGCTCGGGAGGCTGAGGCAGGAGAATGGCGTGAGCCCAGGAGGCGGAGCTTGGAGTGAGCCGAGATCACGCCACTGCACTCCAGCCTGGGCAACAGAGCGAGACTCCGTCTCAAAAAAAAAAAAAAAAAGAAAGTCAGTGCTCTTAACCAATGTGGTCTTGTCAACTGTCAACCCTATAAGGCCCTTCATGGAAAACCATTGACTCTTGGCGCCTGGGTGCCCTCTGTCTGTGACAGTGCACTTCCCTTTTCTGCTTCTTTTCTCCCCCGGTTTCCTAGACTCCCTACTACCCTCATTGGTGAGGCTTAACCATAGGATAGGGACCTGTGGCAAAATACTTGCAGCCATCTCTACTTAGGCATACTTTTAACTTTTATTTTAATCGGACTATCTTACTTGCTGTAAAATGGACAAATCTTAATCTTAATCATACAGCGTGGTGAAATTTTAATATGTTATACCCATCTAACCATCACCCAAATCAGCATATACAATATTTCTAGAAAGTTCCCTCATGACCCTTTGCACTTAGTATTACACCAGAGATAAGCACTATTCTGACGTCTGTCATCATAGATTCATGCTTCTACCTTAGCCATATACAAATATACTTGCTCAACAAAAACAAAAGGATAAAAACACCACTTTAAATAGTGTGGGTGATCCTATCATTCCACCCAGTGAGCGTCTCTCTTGGAGTGGGTGTGAATGGCAGACGTGGATCTGCTCTTCCGTCTGTTGGTCTTTGTTCTCATGGCTTCTTAGGATGTGAGCATCTTGTGCCACCAAGTATATTTCTCATATTTACGGATTTTAATTATCACACAACATGGCCCTTAAATCTAAGCCAGTTATTACATATGGTGCTCAACCCTAAGAAACCAAATCCAGTGCTGAAGGAAAGACTGGCTGTGTTGGACTTCATGAAAGATGGTTTGTTTGTCTCCAACCTGAGACCTTATTGTGGGATTTTTCAAGGGGAATTTTGGCTTCTTTCAATTTTCATGCTGGCTTTAGAAGCTAACCCTTGAGTAGATACAATTTTAATGGGGGCAGAACTCAAGTGTGAATAAGTGGTTATATTAAATTTAGTGACCTGGAATACTTCTGGCAACGTGGTGGACTAAGCTGACTTGTGTGAGTCCTTCCTGCTATGAATACAGAATTGATGGAAATATAAGAATTTTATCTAGGGGAGCGCGGAAGAAAGGGAAACCTGCAAATGTCACAAATGAGGATAGGCTGGCCGCGGTGGCTCATGCCTGTAATCCCAGCACTTTGGGAGGCGGAGGTGGGCAGATCACTTGAGGTCAAGAGTTCCAGACCAGCCTGGCCAACACAGTGAAACCTTGTTCTACTAAAAATACAAAAATTAGCCTGGTGTGGTGGCACGTGCCTGTAATCCCAGCTACTCAGGAAGCTGAGGCAGGAGAATTGCCTGAACCTGGGAGGGGAAAGTTGCAGTGAGCAGAGATCACGCCACTACACTCCAGCCTGGATGACAGAGCAAGACTCCACCTCAAAAAAAAAAAAAAAAAAAAAAAAAAAGGTGGATAAATTTAAGCTAAATGGTGGCATGTGAGCTGAAGCCATGACTACTCCTGGGGCTTTTGCACAGAAGCTACAGAGCCTGGGGGCTCAAGGTGGAACTGAGTGCTCTGGAGCCTTGAAGGTCTGACTTTTTCATGAAAAGGGGCTAGAAAAACTTCGATACTTGGAGAAATAGACAGGAAGCTTGCCTTGACTGGAAAAAAGTTACCAGCAAGAACTTAAACGCATGGGATTATACCATATGTGGTTGTGGAATCTGTATTTTTATTACTTATGAAGTATGAGAGCCTTCAACCTGAAAAATTAACATAAAACTGGTCTAGTACCATGGAAACCTCTACTGCAAACACAAAGTCATTCCATAGGCATATTTTAACAACCCATACCTAACAGCACTCCCACAGTAAGAATGACCTCTGAGGATGAGTTCACAATGAAAAACTATAAACTATTCAGGAAACCATTCCAAGTTGGAAATAATACAGTCATTTAAAAGAAACTATAAAAATGGTATATTTAAAATTATTAAGATGTCTTAGTTTGGGTTTACAAGGAAAAAGAAATAAAATGATTAAGAACTAAAGATAAGGCCGGGCGCGGTGGCTCAAGCCTGTAACCCCAGCACTTTGGGAGGCCGAGACGGGCGGATCACGAGGTCAGGAGATTGAGACCATCCTGGCGAACATGGTGAAACCCCATCTCTACTAAAAAAAAAAAAAATACAAAAAAAAAACACAAAAAAACTAGAGATAACATAAAAAATGTAAAGAAAGATGGAAAAAGAATAGGTTGACTTGAAGAGCAGTTGAATTGAAAGGAAAAATAATCATTAAAATTGAAATCCAACAAAAGAGTTAAGTGACAGATTAGGCATAGCTAAAGAGAGAATTAATGAGATGGAAGATAATGACAGTTAAAATTTGTTAAGTGCATAGTAAATGCCATTGTTCTGTGTACTTTATTTGCATTAACTCATTTACTCCTTAGAACAAAATTATGAGGAGGCATTATTATGATCATCTGAATTTTATAGACAAAGAAACTAAATAGCAGTTTAAGCCACTAGCTCATGGTCACATAGCTGGTAAGTGATGGATCTGGGATTTGACTCCAGGCTATCTCGGGTAGCCTTGAGTCTGTGTTTGCAAGTATTATACTATGGGAAATCATCAAGAGTAGGCACTAAGTGATAAAGAGATGGGTATATGAAATAATGGTGAAGAAGTATCAATGGCACTACTTACGTCTACATAGAGGGACTAAGGGAGAGGCAGTATTAGAAGACATAAAGATTAGATGTCCTTTCAGACATCTTCCAATCCTTAGGTTCCAAGAATTTGAGACCAGGTCACCATCAAGGGCAAAATATTCAAAGGAGGGTGGTACACCCTCTACAGGTGGCACCTGCAGTCCCAGCTACCTGGGAGGCTGAGGTGGGAGGATTGCTTGATCCCAGGTGGCAATGAGCCAGTGCCATTTGGCACTGTCTACCATTTTAAGTGTACATACCCTGTGACCCTGCAATTCTGCTTCAAGGATTTTGTCTTATGAATTCTATCTTTCCTATAGTTATATATGTGTGTGAAGATGCATGTAATATATATTCATTGCAGTATTGCTAGTAATAGAAAGACTGTGGAAGCAGCTTAATATATATAAATAAGGAATTGATTTAGGCCGGTCACAGTGGCTTATGCCTGTAATCCCAGCACTTTGGGAGGCCGAGGTAGGCAGATGACTTGAGGTCAGGAGTTTGAGACCAGCCTGATCAACATGGTAGAAACTGTGTCTCTACCAAAAAATACAAAAATTAGCTGGGTGTTGTGGCCCACAGCTGTAATCCCAGTTGCTCGGGAGATTGAGGCAGGAGAACAGCTTGAACCCAGGAGGCAGAGGCTGCAGTGAGCCGAGATTGCACCACTGCACCACTGCACTCCAGCCTGGGTGACAAGAGCAAGACTCTGTCTCAAAAAATAAACAAACAAAACCCCAAAAAACAAAAAATGAGGAATTGATTGAATGTGTTTTCTTAAAGTAGATTGCCCCGCTACTGTTTAAAATAGTAGGTCATATCTGCTAAGAAGGAATGATTTTCAGGATATATTCTTAAGTTTAAGAATAAAGCAGTTTGCAAGAAAGTATATGTGGTATGCCGCCAGATGTAGGAAAACAAGAAGAGGGTATAAGTGTTTATACACACCCACCCACACACATACTCATACTTGATTATGCCTAGGCGATTGCTGGAAGAACACACACACACACAGTGTCTGGGGGAATTCTGTATACCTCTTGAAAAAGCTTAGGGGATTGTGGGTCTCGGGTGGGTGGAAGATATCCTGCTATATGCCCTTTTATGTTTCTTTGAATGTTTATAGAGGAGATTTAGCAGATCTCCTAGGTGGGGTTGCATATCTCCCACGGGAAACCAACATTTATTGAGCATTTGACAAGCACCAGGCCATGACCTGTGTTATCTGTTCACAGGTAAAACAGGTCACACAGGTAAGGA